ACATTGATGCATTGTCCCTCCTCCATGCCCAGATTGGTTCAAACTCGCTATATCACAACCAATAAGCATAGGTTTCGCTTTTGTTTGTGGACCAAGCTTTTGTTTGTGGACCAAGCTTTTTGAACAACACGGAATTATATATTATAGGCATTATAATTATATATTATAGGCATACATTTATGCGCGGCTAAATAAAACGCAATAAAAAAAAGTTTTGCATGAAATAATTCTCATACTAAGTACTTTTGCATGCACAGCAGCACATAAACATGACAAAACAGTGACACAGCAAAGACGAACTGCTGCTCTTGCTGTTTTCAAAAGACGCAAATGAAGATGCAGCTGTTTGTCTGCATTGCAGACAACCATATCCAAATCCATATCGATAGACAACCATATCCATGCTGGCACATAAAACCTAAGGATGTTCCATATTGAATCTAGTTTCGTTATGTAACTATTTATAGTATAGTAAATATTTATATCTATTTTTTACTGAGGATTTGCACCATGTTTATTTGGACTTTATTTGGACTTTGACACATTATTTATTATTTTCTTATTTTTATTTGTTTATTGTAAGTGGTGTTGTTTATAGTAACTAAAAATATATTATTTGGAAAAAGTCAAATTTGCTTCACTGTTCTATTATTTTGTAACATTTGTAACATACCGTATACCGCGAAACCGTCAAACCGTGGTATTGTTTTAGACGATTATCATACCGTGAAAAATTCATACCGTTACAACCCTACTCGTTACAAATGAGGTATGCAGAAGAGCATCTCTGAACACATAACACATCGAACCAGTAACAGAAGGCCACACCAGGTGCCACTTCTGTCAGCTAAGAAAAGGAAACTGAGACTACAATTCACACAGGCATACCAAAATTAGACAATACAAGATTGGAAAAAAGTTGCCTGGTCAGATGAGTCTCCATTTCTGCTGAGACATTAAGATAGTAGGGTCAGAATTTGACATCAATAACATAAAACATAGATCCATCCTGCCCTGTGTCAATGGCTCAGGCAGGTTATGATGGTGTTATGGTATGGGGGATATTTTCTTGGCAAACTTTGGTCCATTTGTTGAACATCGTGTCAACGCCAAAGCCTACCTAAGTATTGTTGCTGACCATGTCCATCCCTTTATGACCACAGTATACCAATTGTCTGATGACTACTTCTAGCAGAATAATATAGCATGTCATAAATGGTGAACCATCTCAGAATGGTTTCTTGACCATGACTATGAGTTGTATGTTCAAGAATCAAAATGGCTCAAATGGCCTTCAGTAACCAGACTTAATGCAATAGAGCACTTTTGGAATGTGGTGGAATAGGAGATGCATATCACAGATGTGTAGCCAACAACTTTGCAGCAACTGCGAGATGCTATCATGTCAACGTCAATCATGTCAAATTCTCAGAGGAATATTTCCAGTACCTTGTTAAATGTATGCCACAAAGGATTAAGGCAGCTCTGAAGGCAAAAGTGGGTCCAACCCAGTACCAGTGCGGTGTACCTAATAAAGTGGCCGGTGAGTGTATGTTTTCTATCCAAAAACTTTTTTTAAAGTCGAAAATTTCATTTTCTATCGAGAAAATAAACTGAGTTTTTGCTTTTAGAACACCTATTTTTGTTCTCTATCTACTGTATGACAGCAAAAATAGTTCCTAAAAGGGGTATGACCCATTACAATTTCACATCACTTTCAGCAAACTATTTAAGTTATTTCTTTAGTGTCTACAACAGGAAATCAACCATAACCCTCAAAGACATTGACCAAGCAAAACAAACCTGAGAAGTAATATGATAGAAGTGACAGACAATCTTTGTTTTTACCACTGAATTACCTGTTGTCTATGGGAAGCACACTCTTTCTTCTACTCTCTGACTTTTTAGACATCAGCCTGACCTCATCGTTTAGGTATTTATATTAAGCATTTACAGCATTTTTTGTTTGTTTGTTTGTTTGTTTTTGTTTTTCATTTGGACTGATGCTGAAACAACAACTAGTTTTTTTTTTTATATTTACATTTTTATATGTCATAAACATATAAATGCACTTATCATTTTATCGATAAAATATTTACGTTTTTTGTAGATTCCTTAACACAATTTATTTCACCATTTTATAGTGACAACATAATTGACCAAATGGACCAAACTGATTTTTGTAGCAACAGAGCATTACAATTGATTTGCATTAATGATCTCATTACTATGTCTACTTAAATATAAACATTTCTAAAAAGTATGCAAAATATAAACAGAAGATAATAATTTATTGCAAATATGTCAAAATCTGTACCAAACATAATCGAAATAATTATGTTTTGCAATCCTCCCTACACAGAGTACAGAGATATAAAAGATGATTTAAATTGGTCATTGCTGAAAATATATTCCCAGTCCATTCCATGAAGTTGCTCATTTCTCATCTAAGCACACATCACCTGAAACGTGGCATTCCACAATCTGTGACAAAGTAAATGAGAGCCACTAAGTTATTTAATTTCAGTGATTTCACACTGATTGCAACCTTGTGACAAACCATTGATTTTTATTTACATTTGTGAAACAGTTATGTTTTTACAAAGTATTGTCTTCTGTAGTCAAATGACTGAAACCTTTTGCAAATAATGTAGTTTAAACCCATGACCCATAGTCAAATTGTTTAAAGAATTAATCTTGTGATTTGTAATTATTTACAGACTACAGTTTTATTTAAAGTGCCCAGCACGGATCATAAACCAATGATTCACACATTCCTATCACAACTTCACAAAAAACAAAACAAAAAGATGTAGAACCTAAGAAAAAAGACTTCATGTCATTGTTGCTACATGTGCCATTTCAGAACCTATATATTTAAGTAATATAATAAATTAAGCCCATGTTTTCGAGTTTACGTTTTCTACTATGCAGTTCTAAATTCTTGCCTACTGTGTCCAAGTTTTGACCTGTTTTGTTTTGGTTTAGAGAGACACGTTTCTTTAGAAATAGAAAATCCACTCCATTCAAACGGAATGGCCAAAAGAATGAACATTTGATGGGTCCACTCTTAGTTTGTGTGATTATTGAGGGCGCTCTTTTGGCCAATTGTGCAGCGTCTGTGGATTTGATAGAGTTTTGTCAAGGTGCAATCATTGCCACATGGTCCCTCACCATCATTTGAGAGCAACCTGTATTTTTCTGAAGCTCAGTGAAATGGCTGTAGTGGATTGAAGAGCAAAGTCGCAAGAAAAAAGCATCATAATGAGGACTGGTGCTGTCCAAAGTAGGACACAAAACTGGGTCCAACCATTTTCAAGTGCTGGAGCCACATCAATAGACAAATGCTCAAAGAACTAATTGTTTGTTTGAGAACCGAGGCAGTATAGAAGTAAACTTCTACAATGACTTTCTGCTAATTGCAGATTCCTTCTACGAACATCTTAATCTGTGCTAACGTTTGTTGCATCATTTCTTATTCTCTGTGTCCTCCAATGCAATGGCTGGAATGTGGCACATTTGCATGGTATTAACTTTCTGCAGTTCCTAATCTGTTTGTACACAGCTTCTGATGAAAGGAAGCTGTGTGATTTTTATTTTTCCCCTTACCTCAGCAGGCAGTAAGCAGGCCCAGCAGTCCACAATGCCTCATTGAAATGCCAGACTTGAGAGGGGCAGTTGCTTTAAAAGGCTCTCTGATTACTCGCATCAATAGGACCCTATTTGTTGTGGCTCCCGCAGCAACTGCCAAAGCAGATGGGTTATAATTCAGGCCGATTTGCACTCCTTAAATCCTATAATGATTCCCTAACACTCCCAAAGGCAAATGCTAACTGCCATCTCAGAAGTCGGAACGCTTCCGTGATGGACTGACTGTAAAGAGAGCAGGTATGCGTTGACTTTCTGTGCAATCTGGCTAATTGTCTGCCCTGCTCATCGACGGCACCCTAAATCTACACTACAGTTCTCCCTTGTGCCATGTAAAAAACAACAAATCATCTATTATGCAGCACTTAGAGGAGCAACTAACACTCATTTGTTTACAAGATTCCACCAAGACCACTTTGATGGACAATATTTCAACAATCAAATATCTCTTATAGAGACTGTTCAGACAAAATGAACATTTGCTGGTGTTGTTCCTGAACTCTGATGCTGTTCTCTACACGTGCACAACAGATAATTTTTGGTCCCACTATATATTGAGTTGCCTTAACAAATGTACAAATGTGTCATTACGATGTACTTATTGTGTAAAAACTTGTTTTTACATTGTACTTATGCTTTATGAATTACCTGCATGCATTTATTTTCTGTAATTACATTAATATTTACACTGTTGACCATCTCTTACACCTTAAACCTACCCATACCACCAAAACTTTCGCTGACCTTATTCATATCCCACCTCAAGAGTAATAGAACTGTTATGCAAAATATTATCAACACATTAAGTACACTGAATTGATATTTTTTTATGTAAGTACATAGTAGTTAAGGCCACCTAATATAAAGTGGGACCTTACTATTAATAATTTCAAGGTAAAAAAAAAAGTGGAACTAATGTACCTAATTTGGTTATAGTGTAGTTTTTATATATAATTACTCATTTTATATCTTAAATGTTGAATTTTTAAATGAAAATTAATGTTTTAATAGCTTTATTTGAATTATGAGTTTAGATCAACACTGTAAATCATCACCAAGTCATATTTTTTGTCTGTACGGCCCTTAAGAGGCATGTGTCACAGTGATTGCCAAACAAATATTCACTGGCCCATAATTCGGGATGATTGCCAAATGGAAATTCACTGGTCCAAATTTTGAGGTGAATTTTAGGCCAGTGAATATCCATTTGGCAATCGCTGTAGGATGAGCAATTGTCTTGGGCAGATTGTGATGCTTAAACAAGCACCTTCATATTTTAACACTTTCCACAAGATCCAAATGTGCATAACTGTCTCTAAATGGAATAGAGCAGAAAAGAAACTCAGCCTTACCTTCATTGAGACCCATATGAATACTCCAGTAGCTCTGCAGACACTGAAGCTCCCTCTTCATGCCCCTCTTGCACCGGCAGTCATACAGTGGACTGTCCTGCAGAACCTCGAGGGCAGCTTGACACTCCCTGTTGGCCAGCATGGTAGTCCTGTCACGACCTACCAGGCACTGGCGCATGATGCGAAAACGTGAGCTGCACTGCGAGTTTTGGTTGCACACCTCACTGGCCCTCAGGCAGTCCATAGGGGCCCTCCATCCATGAGTTCCCAACCCTGACAAGGTTGAATGGCTTGCCATGGAAAGTGCCACCTCATCTGCAGAAAGAGCATTGGCATTTTTAGATTAGATTAGACTTTTTTTTAAATTTATTTTACATAATGGAAAAAAAAATGTTACATGTATGCATTTAGCTGACACTTTCATCCAAATCGACTTAGAGCCATGAGCACAAGGAGCAGTGGGGGGTTCAGTGTCTTGCTCAGAAAATTCACTTCAGCCGTGGTATCGAGTTGGACATTTATTCACTCCCCCTACCAACAATCCTTGATGGTGCCAGGACTCAAACCTTTGGATCTCAAGTCCAACTCTCTAACCATTAGGCCACAGTTGCACCATTAAGTTGTTATGAATGAACTCAAGACTTAATTCACCAGTTTTCCACAGGTGGGACAGGTTGACCAATGGAAAGAAGTAGTTCAACCATTCAGACCATTGAATATGTAAGGCTTTTCACCTTGAACTTGATATAGTAAAGTGAATTGTCAAGAAACTATTTAGTATTTTGTACCAAACTATCTATCAAGCTTATGATTTATAAAAAAATCGCCTCAGAATGTTTTTTTTTTTTTTTTTTTTTTTGGGAGATTTATTGTAACCAGGTTGAAAACTTTGTTGCGATTGATTGCGCTTACTATGAATAGCTCCAAGGGGATCTGTTGTTTTCACACTGTTGAGTGTCATTAAATCATACATCCACACAGTTTAATTGTGCTTAGTGCTAAAGGGCCTAAAGTGACTTTTCTTCTCTAGTAAAATATTCAGAAGTTTGAGAGTCAAAAAAGTAGGCAGATAAACAAAACTAATTCCAATGGCTCCTGGCGATACACTGAGTTCTTGTGAAGTAAAACAATTGGTCTGTGGCACAAACATTATGTGCAGCATTATTTCCTTTAATCCAAGCCTCAGCAAACATGGTTAAATATGTATTTGACAATCTGGAGCACATGCTCCCTTATAATGAAGTATGTGCAGACACAAACTGACACATGAACTAATGCCATTTGCGTCATACAGAGATGGGCACATTTCATTTGTTTATTAAAATGGTGCAACATATATGTGCAGGTCTCAATCTAGACATTTTACTTTGCAGATTTAAAATGTTTGATACACACTGTTATGTATCAGAAAGTAATGTTTTCACTTCAAAAAAACTCCTGTATGTATTTTCTAGAGCCATAGGTTATAATGTTGTTTTGCTTATGTTTTTTTTTTTCTTTTTGGTTGATTTGCATTTTTTGAATCACCAATGATCACTATTTCAATTTAAATATTTTTAAATATATTGCTAAAAAATCTCTTGACGGCCTTAGTAAATTGAGTAAATTCACTGCAAATAATCCTTTTTGGGTGAACTATCCCTTTAAACCTGAGTAGAGCGACTCCTGTCGACGAATTCAGCAACTACTCTGGTTGGCACTTTTATTGAATTACTCAACATTACTGAATATGAGAGCCTTAAGTTACGTTTGAGAAAATGTCAAACACAATAGCATCAGAACCAGTTAAAAAGTAAAGTAATAAGTGGTCAATAGCTGTATGAACTGATACGTTTGCTTTATTGGTTACTTTATTGTCGTTTCTCTAGTGTTTTCAGCACCATGGACAGTTCCTCCATTTGCCAAGGCAAGGCAGGTTTAATATAGCACATTTCATATGCAATGGTAATTCAACGTGCTTTACATAAACAAAAATAAAAGAAACAAATATAAGAAACAAAAAACAACTAAAAATAAAAAAACTATTAAAAACAGATTAAATGTTAACGTAATAGAGGTTAGTACTTCATCACTGCAACATGTTTTACAAAAGCATCATTAGCTTTAGAACGTAAAACGTTAAATTTAAATTCCACAAGGACATTTGAAATGAACAAATAAATGATAGCACATCTTAACAACTTACCCACGTGCTAGGCCTGAATTTTGCTTCATGGCCAACCAGGCGTATCTTTATAAGGAACTTTCTTTAGCGTAATTGCTATTTATCAGACTGAACGAGGCAAAATTGAGTTCATTCAGCATAAAACAGTGTTTTGTGAAGATATATTCATACGTTAATAAATTGCCGTTGTGGTTGTGAGGTATTAAAATATTGTATTTTTCGCCGGTGCAGTACATCGATTCAAACTGAAAGTGCTGGAACATCATATTGTTGCTATAGTTACCTTATATGACCATGATTTCGATGGTTAATTTGACGGCAGGTTAAAAAAATGCGCTGAACCCTGGGGTTATGCATTACAAAAATGTAATGAATGAATGATGAGCAAGCCGACATTTATTTTGCATTTATTTTCACATATGTAACCATAAATGTTAAATTGTTTTCTTATTCAATAAAAATACATTTTATTGCATTTTATTTATTTATATATTTTTTCTAAACATTTTATTGACTATTTCCATTACATTTTCAAGTTCAGGAGACTGACTTTTCACTGTGTCCTTAGTTCAGGACTTTTGGACCTGACAGTTCACGTACTAATGCCCTGAAGTTCTGCTAAATATTCTGCTATCTTCTGCTCTTTGGGAAGCAGGCGTTAATGCATCGTAAAATAACGAGCATTGAACTGGAACTTAATCTGGAACGAGAAACAGTCTCTCTAGTATTACACAGTTCGTTTAATCTCTGATTGAGTGATGCTGTATATGAGACAATCAAATGGAAGACTGGCAGTATGAAAGGAGAACGAGTTCATTCTGTAAACCGTCAGCTGTCCACTTTACGCAGTTAAACCCTATCATTCAATATCTCAATTTGATACATGATTGTCTGCGTGGGATTTCATTATTCTTTCACCCTCTCGGGTTGATACTTTTGCCTCTCGTGTGATATAGTTGTATTACTTACCAGATAAAAACAGGACGCTCAGAATATTCAGGAGAATCATGATAGATCCCATTCGAATCCCCGTTGAGGTATCCAGGATTCCGTAAATGTTCGCGGACAAATCCAACGCTTATTTAACGAACGTCCTTTTCACACCTCAGGTTCATTTCCAACAGTCAGATGCGGGTTGAAGAAAACGTCAGAATCACTTCAAACCTTACAATTCCAGAACTTGGATATCTCCTATTGGGACTTTCGACAAGTAAGTTAGTAAATAAACAGCAACTGGCGTTTATTTGATGAAACTGAGCATATCCTTCCAACAAGAGCGTCGAAGCATTCCTCCAATTTGGGACGAAAAGATAGCGCGCGTTTATGTCAGCGTTCTCCAAATGTGGATAGGATTTGAATTTACAGACGTTAGATTATCTTTTCAAACTTTTATCTAAGAGATGTTAGGTTACAAACGACTAAACTTCAGACGCCAAGTAAGTCGGTTTTGTCGTGCAAATCATCACCGGTTATTCCTGCATCGTACAAACGCATAATTGAACATCGTTCAAACATAAGTTGCTTGTTTACGTGAACTAAGAAAATCTCTCCGCACTCCAGTGAGAAGCAATAAATCTTCCTCGCTGGATAACCTCGACTTTAAGCCGGACAACCTTGACTTTCATCAGAAAATCCTTATGTGTCCACCAGCGTGCCTGTGGCTTCAGAACTGCCGTAGTTTTTCCGAGTCGGTGATAGTGAAGAACACAAACAGAAAAAGAGCACTTCCAGTTCCACTTATCGTCTGTTTTCTGTGGCGCAGAGAAATGCTTTCTCCCACGAAACTGAAGTTACATGTCCGACCCTCGGGGCTTTGTCGCTCTTCACGTCAGAGCGGGCGCAATGAAAACATATCACCGCATGAATCTGACCGCTGCGCACTGGCTGAGCGCACAAGGGCATCGACGTACAACAACACAGTCATGTCTGAGACGACCTTGTGTTACACAAATATGACTTGTTGGCTCTCTTGTTGGGATTTTTTTCTCCTCCTCCAGCATCGGAGATGCTTACTTTCCTCGTATTTATTATATGGTCATTTAAAAAAGCATTAACTTGAAAAATAAAAGTCCACTGTCAGGTTAATTGGACAATTCGCTTTTTTACTTTCGTCTAAACGTGATTAGCATATGGGATTTGCTTATTTGTGTTTAATTTGTGTCCAAGACAACTGCCAACATGGGGACTGAGCTGTCAAACAGGAAGAACTTCTATGGGTTGTGTGGTTTATGTTATGGGCTTAAACATACAGTAATTAAATTATTTGTAAATTTTTCAGTGTATAACTTAACCATTTTTAATGTATTCACTATTGCTAAACTACAGAGAGAATTGTTTATCTACATTGGATTTTATTTATTTTACAAATTAATAAATAGGTATAAAAAGGAAAGTTGAAAAAAATACATAACATTACAGAAACGTGATAGATTCTAGTGGGTGGATTATTATATTTAGAATACTCTTTTTTATATGCTATTTAAATAATGAGACTGAAAATGATGCTCATAAAAAGAAAAACCAATGACTAAATGAATACATAAACAAAATGGCATTTTTATAATGATGTCTCTAAACAAGTTGAGTTAATTAACCATACAAGCTGAGATAAATTTCCAATCTGTACATTTGTAAATGGACGTTGCCTGTCATAAACAGACTGCTTAGATTAAAGGAAAGAGGCATTAAATTCAAAAGCGTAATCAAATATTTCTCTTCAAGCAAGTGCATGCTAATTCTTCTCAATTTCCTCTGGAGAAAATATTTGAGTTTATGATAGTTCCTATTAAATATTGCACATCTGTCTTGTATAAAATGCTATAAAATAGTAACATCAAACAGCTCTGAGAAAAATAAATAATAAAAGAAAGTACAAGCATAAAACTGTATGTGTGTGTCTTGTTTGAGCAGGGAAATCTGTTATTTTTGTTTGTGCTTTGATGGTCTCCACTAAGTTTGCAATTACATGTAAACAATACATTAGTTTATTAGTAGATGGTTAGGTTAGGGTTAGCAGATTAATTTGACTTGCAAAGGCACATATGCACAATGCCTGTTGAAGGGCAATCAAAAAACATGTTAGCAGATATTCGAAAGTCTGCTTATTCTAATGACTGATTGGTGATTGTACATTACAGATGTACTGTACTGTAGTTGCAAAGTTACTTATCATCAGCAGGTTTAAAGAGGATTCCAATGTTATTACTCGATTGAATGGGTGTTATCAGCTGATAGATATGAGCCAGCTCAGAAGGCTGTTATCATCCATCCACATGGTCAATCAGCTATAGAGCACATGTGGCTGCGAACGGAAGTTAACAAGAATTATTTATATGATTTATTAAATTTCCCATTAATTGTATTTCATTAACGTCTACCCCCACCCCAACCCTAAACCCAACACAGTAATGTAAAAACTGATCTGGATCTGGAGTCCTATCTATTAGTATAGCTGATTAACCATGTGGATGGATGATAATAGCCTGCCAGTAGGCACTATAGGCCCTTACTGACCCATATCTATTAGCTGATAACCATTGATAACACCCATTTAATCAAGTGATTCAAAGCGGGTGCAGTGTCACCTTGTTCATACACTTTAGATGTGGAAGAATTCTTAGGTTTGGTGGCCTAGAGAGCTCAAATGTGCTGCAAGGTAATCATTTTTGCACCAATAATGTGTACAGAATGATTAAGGAGTAAAATAAGCAAAATGATGTTTTCCTAAATATTTCCATTTGCATGTGTTTCTTAACATGCAGCGTGTTTGAGCTTTCTCAGGCACTGTACAGAAAGTTATATAGAAATAAAAAAATGATAATCAAAGAGACTGAAAAAAACCCTTTGGTGAAATATTGTAAACCCTAAACCAAATAAGCCAGCTATGAAGTGGGTTGCAAAATTACAAACTTTGTTTTGAAGCAAAGAAATATGTGATAACATTGCAAAGTAGGCATGAGACAATAACCATTTTCAAGGTATACTGCGTTTTGGAAAAGTCAAGGTTTTAAAACTGCAAAAGTTTTCTACCACACTGTTCATACAGTATGTGTAAAAACATTTTTTTTTCTCTGTTTTTTTAGGACAACAATATCTTCAGCAAAAAGACATCCAAAGATGCTGTTTTACATTGTAAAGAAATCAGTGTTTTTGAAACAATTGAAAACAGCAGAAGTCAATGATTCATTTTAATGATTTAGTCTGACATATTTATGGTTCCAATATACTTTAAACGTTTCTCAAAATAGTAATAATAATAATAATAATAATAATAATAATAATAATAATAATAATAATAATAATAACATCTTAAAATATATTGTGTTAAAAGGGGAAAAAAGGTTTTTGTGTTTTACCCAGACATTGAAAATAATGTACCGGGTGATTCAAAAAGAATACCACAACTTTAAAAATTTAATCAAAAAACATGATGGAACCTTGGGTATTTAATCAGTTCATTTCAATTCAATTAATCTTTATTTCTAAAGCACTTTTACAGTGTAGATTGTGTCTAAGCAAATTGAAACTGTATCAGTCTACTTTTCAGAGTTGAAGTTCAGTTTAGTTCAATTCAGTGTGGTTTTTATTTTCATTGCTGAAAGTCCAAACACTGCAGAGCAAATCCATTCATCAAATCCAGCTCCACAAGTCCCGAACCACGCAAGCTAGTGTGGACAGCGTTAAGGAACAAACTTCACCAATTGACGAAAGTGAAGGAAAAACATTGAGTGAAACCAGGCTCAGTTGGACACGACCGTTTCTCATATGGCCAAACTTCTTGTTCAGAGCTGCAGTCTAGGTGCAGAAGGCAGCCTACTTGCAAACTTGATGGAAGTAGTGAAAGTTTTCATGCAGCACAATGGGTAATGTAGTTTTTTTTTATGGAAATATTACAGTACACCATTAAAGATGATTTTCAAGTCTTCTTTAAAAAAGTTTTTCAAAACTAATTTACCTTCGAGGAATGTCTTTGTCACTTCCAGAATCCGACTGTTTCTCTTACTAAACGCGCTGCTTTTTAAAATCGACAGTCAGGGAGAAGAATCATGACTACTTTGTCAACATGTCACAGCACAGATTCTTCTTCCAGAGCATTTTTTTTAAGCAGAGAGAAGGGAAACAGGCAGCCAACATAAAAGACGACATCCTGGGCCCCTCTTAGCGAGCAGAAAGCAGCCTTTGACAAGCCCATTAAAAGAAAGAAAATAATTGTCTCGCTTCTCGTCTTGCAAAACCCTTCAAGGTCCCTCAGAATCCTGCACAATGCTGAGGCGTTTTGATGCAGTTATCTAATGCAGTCATCTGTAATGTACATTTCATCCTGTCTGCTCAGTGCTTAACAGGGCCACTGCAAGCTTGTGTATTCCTTTCACCTGAGCTCAACCGTCTGTGAAACACTGATTGTACTCGAATGTTTTGCGCTATAAGCAATAGTGTAGCATTTCCAGCTTTTCTAAATGCTGATTGCGGATTTGTTGTCTAGATGTTCCCAGACCTATCAATATTTATTATATACAGTAGCTCGATGTTCTATGTAAAACGGATGGAGGTATTCAAATAAGGCCGGCTTTTTTTTTTTTTACTGCAGCGGAGGATGGAATATCATTATCTCTGCAGGCTGTTGTGTTGTTGTCGTTTAAGTGTGTGTGATATTTTTTGGCTCGTCTCTCAATCTCTCCCATCAGCAGGATCAAAACGGCATGCACAGTGGTCTCATCATTCCGCTATCTGCGAAAAAAAGAGCAACTGGCTGTGTTTTGGTCACTATTATCTGATGCAATAATCGCGTCGTGTTTTCATATTTCACACACAATAGCGTCGTACATTATGCGTACTTTATGAGTCATTCTGTGAGTCAATGTGCATGATCCTCAATGTGGTTTGGATGCATGTTGTGTGTTTTAATGACATCTTCACAGCCTTTTGCTAGCATGTTGTCTTTTGGCTGAAATGGAGAGCATCAGGTTGGTGCTTTAGGTCATTGATGTAAATGGCTAGATAATTAGTTACCTTAGATAATTAATTACAATTCCACACATCTGTACATTGGCCATTTTGGAAAGGTCACGAGTCACCAGATGCCGGCAGATCTATTTCATTGTAGCTCTGCTCTGCAAATGCAAAGGGTTAGTGACAAATGAGCAATGGTTATTCAGAAAATGGTGAGCAATGGTGATTCAGTGATTCAGAGTCCAAACACTTTAACAAATTAACAAATTCCATTAAACTGTGAGAACATTTACAGTAATTGAACATATTTCAATTATCACAAAAAAATCATACAACCTGGTGTCACGATCATCAGCGATCTAGGTGTTGCAGTTGAGAACTACAATCTCACACATCAATTCCAGTTCTCTTTCTGATTACACAACCACAGCTGGAAGTCCATAATAGATTTATTACATTATGACATTGACTATATAGCGCTGTAAGTGAGCAATTCAAAGCGTCCTCCTTTTTTTTTTGCCTTTGCTGTGTTTTTGACCCTTGCTTTGTTTATTGTTTTTTGTTGTTTTGCAGCTTATCCCAAACTTTTGGCTGTTTTTTTTTTTTTTTTTACTACATTTTGGATTTTCTGCATGCTCCTGTCTATTCCTGTTTCGACCATTGCCTGTTTGATGATTATGTTTAATAAAACTGCACATGGATCCTCACCTCCATTGTCCCTGACACATCAAAAATTGTTTTCTAACATGTCACAGTTTACTTTATTTTTCTGTCCTCACCTAAATTGATACACTATAGTGTCCTGTACCAACAAATAAATTCAAATCTAGTGTACATTACTAACAAAAATTAGAAACAAAGTGATTACATTAAAATATAGGCTTGTAATGTATCAATCTGACACATTTAGGTAGGTATTTTTTAATTGCTTTTTACCATAAAAAATGTGGTCATTTGTAAATGAATTATTATTTATAAATGAATATATAGTATTTATTTAAATTGCAT